CATAGGTTTTTTGACAGATATTATTCAAACGGCAAACATATATTGAAATAACATAAAAAATACCCATTAAATTTGCAGCTCGTTTGACTGTGCAATTATTTTATATATGTTACATTTAAAAAAATCAATATTTAACAATTAACCTTGTGAAAAAGTAACGTTAAATGGTAGTTATATGATTTGTAGGAATTTCCCAATTTTGTGGGTGGAAAAGATTACTTTTAGATAAATCTATCGAATTTACAAATAAAGCCACATATTAGTTTTTAAATGAATGTAGAAAGAGGGGATGAAGTGTGCGTAAATGCATGTATGTGAGAACATCCTTATGAGGAAAACAATTGCTAGCTTTACTGCACACATTGGCGTTCGTCTTACTTCTCTGAACTTTTCCCCTACTAACTATGTGAAGTACGTCCTTAAGTCAAAAAATCACTTTAATCACGAATAGAAAAATTTTAAAAGAAGAAAATACAATCAAAATTAATTGTTTGTGAATTTTTGAGAATTTTGGAAAATATGAAAAATTGTAAAAAAAATTATTTATTTACTGTAAATGTAACGAATAAAATATTTAGTTATCAGTTTAGAAGAATTCCTTATTTCTCGTGATCTCCTTTTTTTAATATCTGCGTTTTTATTAATCTGATTAGTAATACAAAAAAATCCTAGTTGTTAAAAAAAAAAAAAAAAAAAAAACACCCACACACTGAACCAAGTGACGCTAAGTACATTTTAGATATACTAATATTGTATTAGTTACAGAGGTTTGGGAGCAATGATGAAATATCTTGAGCCGCTTGATATACGCCCTTAGTTTTCTCTGACTAATTGTGTATGTGTGTGACTACGCGNTTTTTTTTTTTTTTTTAAGAATCGGTTAAAAAAAGAATAAATGGAATTCGTGAAGTTCAAAATGTGTGGCGTGGTGATGTCATGTGGTGTAGAGGAAACCGAAAGTACGTCACGGGGGCCGAGGTAAAGGGGAAAATCTGAAATCGTTGATGTAAGTACCCTCGTGCACAACGCGCCTGTGGAAGTACAACTTCAAAAATATCATTTTAAGTACTTTGCATCATTACTGGTAGTCGAATCGTTTTGGCTATCAATATGACTATTAGAGCGACTTCTTTTATCATTATCTTCTTCTGTAGTAATTTCTTCTGAAAAATTTTCTTTACTAATACTATTTTTACTATCACTACTTTTCTCTTCTTCGGCCTTTTTGACTATTTTTTTCTGAGATGTCGTTTTTTTCGGTTTCTGATCATCTCCACTTTTACTTCTGATTCTTTTTCTACTTTTGTTAGGTTTTTTGTTCAAATCAGAAATTTTACTTGCAATGTAAGTGTTTACATTACCTAGTTCCATCTCAGCTTTTATAACTGTTAACTTAAATCCTTTGACTAGGTAGTTTNCAAACAAAGAGCGATGGACAGTTGATAATTTCTTGTATTTATCCCGGAGTCATCTTCTTCACACTTTAACCGCAACGCTTTCAGCAGACAGTCCAGGACCGGCCAGGTATAGACATCCCAACACTCCAAAATTGTGACATCGTTCGCCAATGATCGAAGCCAAGTTTTAATAACTGATAAATTTCTTGAGTAGAAAACTGATTTCTCAGCGTCTAAAAGAAAAGCTATATAATTATAAGGTTGAATACTGAATGAATTCTTAATTCATAAACATATATATATATATATATATATATATATGTTGCTAAGTAGTAAGGGTGAGTTATTTCCAGACACCTCTGACGTCACCGTCTGGCGCTGGTGGTCGGGGCCGGGGAGAGTGTTTGGTCGTGCTTTTCGAGGAGGTGGAGGAGCGGGGTCCCTAGCTGGGGAATTTCGTGAGCTTCGAAAAGTGGCGCGGTTTTTAAAATCTGGTGGGGCCTTGGAGGTAGGATGGAAAGGTGAAAATAATGAAGTCGTTTGGAATGAGGTTGACAAAATTTATTCATAGCGTGAAATAGAGTGATACACCTACAAATACAGTGTAAAAATTTAAGATAATTGTTTATAGTATAAAATGTATGGTGACATAATATTAATACATATAGGTAAAGTTGTCACTGATAAAAAGTGTTGTTAATCTAAAAGGTTATAGTTTTATACAATGTAAGTGATAAATAGAACGCAAGATGTCTAGTTTTTTGTGATGTATTTCAACGTAGGGATGTATATTTTAAAATTAATTAAAGTAAAATACTTCTAGATTTACAATTTTTATTACATGTTGAGGATATAACGTGCCTATTTTCTAGTTTCTTACGTCTAGTAATTTTATTGTACAAAGTTACACTTATTTCATCATTAGTTGATGTAGTTCTTAAAAATATTGAACAAAGTATAGCCAAAGTATAATAATGAGACATAAAAAACAAAAAATCGGTACAGAAATGACCACGCACTCGAGAGCCAATACTCTGCAATTGTTGTACGTTCCACTCGTAACTAATACAGTTTCGTCTAAGTCGATCAACATAGTGTGAGACAGCGGGTGGCAACCCATAACTGTCAAAGAAAACTCTGTGTCCGCTGGTATCGACATAAAAGGCAATCCAATGCGTACCAGGTCTTGTGCTCTCGTCTATATTAGCTACAAGAGCACACGGTCTTGTCCAAACAAACGGCAGCTTGTCTGCTAGAAATACCTCGTCTGTCGGTTCGGAATATGCCGCAGCCCTTTTTGTATTTATAGTGAATTCATCTCCCCTTATTTCAGTATACACAGATGCAGTATCCGGTATGGTCTTTCAACCTTTATGTCACTCACAAATACCCTAAAAACGATAGATGTTTTAAATAGTAAGAACTAAGTTCTGTATTATTCAAAGTGCTAATTCGAGGAATCTATCGTAAACAGTAAGTGAATTACTGAGTTTAGCAGTGAAAATAAGATCATTGGTTATTGGTTATCAAAAAATATCCTCTGAGGGTTGACTCACAACGGCGTAGGTTGTTCACAGAATAGGTTGAAACATATTCTTATCTGTTATGGTCGTGGTTTCGACACTGCCACCACCAAACGACAACCAGTTCGACGAGTAATAATTATAACACTCAGGTAAAAATAGTTTGTTATTACTATTCTCTGATAGCTCACCACTGTGTTTATTAACGTTAGTATATGAAGACATCATCGACGAGTTTACATGACACCTAAGAGTCATCACCGGTGCTTTGTTGATGTAGACGCAGCATGTTTCATTCATTTTCGTATAGTCCACATAATTTGGCGTAGACAAATTTAAAATGTTTTCAAGTAAGCGCCCACCTGTATATAAATTCTGTGCACTTTGGTAAGCCGGTGACCAGCAAGGCCAGTAAGAAGTGAAGATCGAGGAATCTGAAATAGATTTTCCTTCAATAAAATAACTTCACGTAAAGTTGCTTATTATATCAGAAAATTATTATTTTATACGTGGTTGATTAACATTACTTAAATATTTTTTTAATAAAAACTATGTTCAATAAAATATATACAGAATCAGTTGTTGCTATTACTAAAAACTGTAAGACACGTAAGGCAAAATCAATTTTTTGGTATCTAATCATGCAAGAACAAAAAGTGGATGCGTAATGCAAGCATACCCACTGCGTGGTAACTAACATATATTAAAAACCTGTTATGAAGATTCATCAATAAATAATCCCTGTTTGCCAATAAAAACTTTACTCTTATTAAATCTAACAGCTCAAATATTCTTACATAATCTAGTTATGTCCCTACTGTTTGCATAAAAACCTAATAACTATATTAAATTAAACCTTCAAGTTCAAGTACAACCCTTCCAAGAGGTTTTCTATTATATTTTTTTCAAACATTTATCTTCTACCCCATGAATTCCAAACCTATCTTCCAAAAGCGACATTTACACAATTTTTTTTTATAAATGGCCCACGTATATTTCTTTATTAAAACTTACAATTTAAAATTCTCAAGTTTGTCTTAATTAAATGAGATATGTCTTGTTTTTTGTATAGAGTATGTTACGTCCAAACTTCTAAAAGTGAAGGGCGGAACTTGAAGATTCGTTCTACAAACAAATAAATTAAATTTTTGTTCGTCAGGAACCAGCCATCGGACCAAAGACCTTATTTCGAGTCCCCACTTTTTCTAGATTTCCAAAGGTTAATGCTTTTCATGAGGTTCCCGATCTCCTTTGTAGCAGCAGCAGTAGAGAAGGATATCTACTGGTTTAAACGTGCAGGTTTTATTATCGGCATTTGAGTTTTTTTTTTTTTTTACATCTAAGGCATCATCTAGTATGGCGGAAGAGGGAATAACTTCTGTAGAATGCACTGGCTTGTTAATCCAGGTTTGTAACTAATAAACACGAGCTAGAGCAGAGCTGAAAACTTCCTTTTTTCGACCATGATAACAGCAAAAGTAATCATTATCGCGAGAAAGATTTTTAAAAGATGGGCAAGAGTACTCTTCGAGATTTATTATTTGACGACCTAATACTTTTTCCAGTAATTTTTGTTTTTGATTACCTTGAACGTAAATGTGAAGAGCACTTCTTGCTATGTCACGTAGAGCGCTATATACGTCCTCGATATTAGCTTCACCATCAAACCACTCGAGTCCGTGAAAATAACACGTTAAATAACTATTTGTAGCTAAAAGTCCTGACGTCAATTCCGTAGTGTTGTAGGGTGGTTTTATAATCGAATGTGAACTAAAGTCACAGTCGACATCTACCACTGCGATTTCTTTTGATAAAAAGTCACCATTTTTATCGTAAAATTCTTGGATATCTACAATGAAATTAACTTTTTCCATGGTTTTTTGTGAGCAGCCACGTCCACTGTCTTAAATAGTACGTGGCATACTGATCGTTCGACGAAAGATTGGAGACTGCGAGATGAGGAAAAAAGGTTTGTAACAGCGCTAAAGAAGTGGTAGTGAATATGAGAAGAGGAGTGATGGGGGGTGGTGGTGGTAGTTGTGGTACAAGGGAGGTTATAGATGAGAGAAAAAAAGTCTTTTTAGAAGTAGAAATCTACAACTATCTGACGGTTTGAGTCTATTCCTAACATGTTGTCAAATTCTGAGTAAAGAACGGAATTTATCGTTTCTGTCAAAGGCGTCTCAAAACGTACTTCTATTCTGACAGAACCATTTTTTACTCAATTCCAATGACCTGCAAAGTGCGAAGACAAATCTGGTGTAAGATCAAATGCAAAAAGACAGTACCCTTTTGGAAAATCTTTTCTGTGTATGTTATTTCCCTCGTTCATGTAATGTATTCCGGAGCCAGAAAATAATGTATGATAAGCTTCAACGTACATAGATCCACTTCCTGTAAAAGTAGGTTGTAATGGTTTGCTTGGAGTTTGTACTCCATCCACGTATAATGACAAAAAATTAATAGAGTAATTTTGGAAACTAAAGGGGTTAAGTTTTCTGTCCCCGTTGAAAGCTTTGTTGTCAACGAAACCTAGTATTATTCTTTTTGGTAACTGGCAAAGAATAACGTTTTCTAAACAGTCGCCTGTAATACCACTGTGCATAGTAAAAGATTTAACTTCCACACGGGTGATTGGATATTTTGCAGTAGTGCTTGCTAAAGTCTTTGCATGTGCAATCAAAACTGTGGGGCTTACTTCTGCTCGTCGTACAAGAAGTGTTGTTTCGGTAATACTGACTGAATAATTCCTTGTAGATGCATCCATCAAACAAAATGCATCCTTCAAACGAACCAGACGTAGACGAACTTCGACACCATTTAATAAAAGTTTGTCTTGATTAAACACGTCGCAATGCAAATGACCCATCAAGTCCACTGTCATACCATTCTTTATATACTCTTGACGTTTTGCGAGAGATATAATTTTTTCTGATCTGGATAGCTCATGCTCACCTATCTCAAAGTGTAGCTGATTGGGGTGCGTTATGGTCACATTCTGGTTATTTTTTTGAAAGTGGTAACGGGCAAATAGTAAAAAAAATTCATGCAGCTAAAGGAGTTATAAGTCAAATTTGTAGAACAATATCAATGAATAGGAGTCAAATAGTTTTAAAAAAACGTATAAGTTTGAATGATAATTCCCAAGTAACGCTATTTATTGAATATCTTGAAAAAAAAAATAGTGCATCGGCATTTAAAATTTTGGACTTTACGTACTTCGGAACTGATTATCCTGTTTTTCCAACATTTTTTAACCAATACAATTTATCTGCAGAATGTAGGACTTATAGGAGAATGGTAAAAAATAATTCATTGTTCACATCTATGAAGAATAATGCAATATGTTCCAACAATTCCTTTGCAATGACTAGAAATGGTGATTTCATTCATATTAGAGATTTTTTGGTTGATCCACAGCTTTTAAAAGAATATACGATCTGTTACTTGGTGAATACACGAGAAATCTTCGATTTTCATGTTAGATCCGCAATGAAAAAAATTGTCAGTATAAATAGAGAACCTATTGTGATTGAAACAAGAGATATACAGTCAGTGTGTGTACAAATAAGCGTTGGCAAGACGTATATTGGAGGTTACATTTGCCTGGTACCAAATTCTTTTTCATATTAAGTCATTCATAGGAATGTATCATTTGTAATAGTTTATGGGCATTTATTTCAAAGTGTAATTCGGAAAACTTGTAATTGTAAATAATTTAATTATTACACATTAATTGTTATGTAACAATAAGTATGATATAATAGGAATGTGATTAACGTTATGATAACTGTTTAATAGTAAATATCAATTGAATTGTAAATAAGACTTACCTTCTGTAATTAAGCATTATTGTGTAAAAAAGTTATGAAAATAAATGAATATTCAGAAATTCTAATTAAAACGTTGGCCTATGCGTCTTTTTTAGGAACATTATTGTATTTATTGAAGTTTTTTAGTTGGACACTTTACCATTTTACACTGGGACGTAATCGTACGTACTACGGAATCGTATTACGTATTTCGATCACGTAATTCTATTACGTAAATTGATTACGTATTAAAAATACGTAATTGAAATACGTAAGTGAATTACGTAACAAATCGTTCCAATCTGTTACGTAATTTAATTACGTATTTTAAGTACGTGTTTTTTATACGTACGTAAAATACGTATTTATCTACAATAGGGCATCTATCTTACCAGCCACATCAGTTTCCCAAAGACGGATGGACAAGTGAGAAGTTTTTGCTGCAGCTTCGTAATTTAATAGTGTTTCGATGTATGTTCTGTACGGGTAAGCATTGTTAGGAGGGGTCACTAGTTTTTGATTGAAATATACATCAGCTTGATTAAATATAGAGTGTAAGAAATTGTTTACTGGAGCCACAGACGCATCTGTATCCTTGTCGTAAGGTATGAATTTTCATTAACTCTCAGCATTGTTTGAGCGAGGTCCAAATAATCCTCATTTTGAGAGTTTATGACAAACTCTATCGGACTTTCGTCGGTTGATGATAAAACAGGTTTAAAATAAACCCACCGACTTGCTTCTAACGTTGTCTGAGTAAGAGGAAGAGAAAATAAATCCAACTTACTCTTGAGTCACGGATCAGTGTGGCTATGCAAAAAAGACATTATTAATATTTAACTAAAAGTATCGGTCACTTTAGATTTTTTTTTGCCCTTTTTTACTCTTTTTAGTGTTAACACGCTTAATTTTTTTACCATTCTTCTTTTTCCCTCTTATCTTCTTATTCTTTTTAGCAACACTCTTTTTGCGTCCACATTTTGTCACTCGAGATGTTTTCTTTTGAGCAACGAGACTGCACTCGACGTTTGTACGGTAAAGCATTGTACCCGGATCCTTCCATTGATCTAACAAACTTTCCCGCTGCCTTACGTTTCAAGTTTATACCTAATTTGGTTGCACGATTTGTCAATGCATCTTTAAATGGCAAATCACGTTGACCAATGTCATCAATAATATGTGCACCAGCTCGGAAAGCTTCTTTTCCAATAGCGCGTGCACCTTTTGTTATATATGGCATAGCTGTGCGAAGAAGCCCCATGAAAAAAGAACCCAAGCCATGGACTCTCTGCCCATGCGAGCCAGTAAACCCATGCTTGACCCGTCTACCTCTACCACCGTACTGAAAATGATACACATCGTAAAAACTCATTTTGTACAACGATTCTAAAAAAATATTTTCCGAAAATGTAACACCATCGTCAGTATCCCAAACTCAAATGCTATCGGTTTACTGAAATGGTCTCTGATATCTATATCGATTGCATGAAATTTATCATTAAGGAGAGGTACGTATGCAACAGGCGTATATCTCTTGACAATTATACCATCAAAGTGAACTTCTTTAGCATCCAAATTAACTGTTTGTAATGAAGGTGCAAGCGTGCCCCCAACAGTACATGGTTCACATATATTAGAGTAAATAAAAAGTTGATCCAGCACTGCTCTTGACATGTTTGCCGGCTGTTTACCGTGAATTAACATTCGGTAATCATACTTTATTTCTCGATATTTTTTTATATGAATTATTCCTTCTTTAAATCCTACAATGCGTTGTACTGTGTTTGATAACCAGGATAATTTTTCACCCTTATTTACTTCAAAATGTTCTATTATAAATGAAAACACTGTTCCTTTCTTTTCTAAGGTGGGTACACCAATGAATACAAATCCACCGTTCATATAATAAATTAACTTACGCTGATATTCTTCATCTTCAGAGATATATTATATTATTTCATCCGTTTGTTATTCATCGCTTCACATAAGCTATTTATCGAGTCGTGTGTGCCATGTTAAAAATGACATTTTGTTTTATCCTTAGGTGCACTGAGTAAGGCGTCCTCTCGAGTGACATGTAAAATAGTGCACGGTACGTGAATCTCGGAAATTCCAACCTCCCATTTTCCACACAGCTCAATTTCTTTTGGTAATTGAGTAGAAAAATTTGTTGTAGTATTATAAGAAAAATATTTCATACTGCTGTTGCTTGGCAAAGTTATCATAAAATCGTTATGAACCATCTCTCAAGTCTCTTTCAAAAATCCAAGAATTAAACTTTTTTGGAGAACCCCTCCAACTAACAAAATATTGTTTGTTTCTTCCCTTTTCTTTAATTCGAATTATTTTTTAAATTTTATACTCCTGATCTAATACTCACTCTTTAGCGACTAGGCTAAGCTCCTCAGGGTAAAAAAAATCCATCAATACTTTCACCATCCAAATCATGCAAGTAATATGTGTATAAATTTTGTCTTTTGGCAACACCGACAATTTTAAATATTTCTTCACTTTAAGATTTTACGGCACCTTTTTCGAATACGTTTTTTACGCGACCAATACGCACATAGTCTCCAACTTTATACTTTGATTTAGCTTGACGATTCTAACGATGTTTTTGCTTTTGTGTTCGTGAGTTTACTAAATTTTTTTTCACAACGTGCGCGTTATATATAGTTACTGCACTCGGTGCCAGCTTGATTGTGGAGTGGGGTAATTTATCATACCTATCAAATAAATCTTGTAGTACATCGATGTAGTGGAATGTATTTTTATATGTAAAATATCTGTACATACGTTCCTTGAGTGTTCATATGAAAGGCTCTACTACAGCTGCTTTAACGTAAGGGTTACTCACAATCTGAAGTTTAATTCCATTACGCTTTAAGAAATGTTGGAACTCGCTTTCTAAAAATTCTTTTCCCCGATCTGTTTGGACTGTTTTTGGAAATCAATAGTATTTATCATCGAGAATTTTTTTAAAAGCTGTGTTAACTTCACGGCAAGTCTTGTCGTATATTCTCGTTGTAATAGATGTTTTGAGTAAATTTGTATGGGCTCAACCATTACGTGATAAGACTGATTCCACTGTTGTAGTTTTTGATAGACGTCAATTGAATGAGATCAGCCTCCCACAAGTCATCGAAAGTGTTGACATCGTAAAAAAGGCGTGGAAACTTACGTCAAATAGTTTTGTGTAACGTGTGAACGTCTTGTCCCTTTAACCATTTCTTTATTTTATCTGATGAAACATTTTTATTTAATCTTATTAAGTTTCAAGCCTCGGTAAGACCAGCCACATGACTGGGTGTAAGGTATTGTTTTTCCAACGCGTCCATTTTTTCAATATCTATGCCACTGTCCTCCTACTTCTCCTCTCTTTTGCAAAGGTCTAGATGTCTTGGATGGACTTTAGATGTCCCTTTTAATAATTTTATTCCCTTTAATAGTAGCTTCCATAAATGATTGATATGCTTTACTGCCGTAGTTACTTGACAATTTATCGGTAATATCGTCATAGTCACGGTCTATCTTCTCTCTCGAGTTGAATAATTTTCAACAAGTCTCTGATAAAGTCTCGACTCGATTGACGTTACGAATCTCCCACAGGTCATTATTTCCTACAAACTCTCGAAAAGTAACGATTTCACGCAACATATTACCAAATTTTTTTCTACCCACAGATTTGACTGTTTTTCTGCGTCTTACCGCATCACTTATTAAGTCAATAACATTAGAACCTTGTATTTTTTCACCATCAATGGTCACGACACCCTCACTATTCCAACTAATTTTACGGTTATTCTTTTTTAAATAATTCAAAAGTAATTCAGACTTTTTTTGATATGCTTTAGGTATAGTTTTCAGAATCATATCATCAATTATTCGATCATTTGCATCTGTATCATATTCTTCCTCATTTTACGGTTATTCTTTTTTAAATAATTCAAAAGTAATTCAGACTTTTTTTGATATGCTTTAGGTATAGTTTTTAGAATCATATCATCACTCATTCGATCATTTGCATCTGTATCATATTTTTTCTCCTCTTTTTCCGTTGATACGTATGGAA